ATATATATATATATATATATATATTATATATATAATATATATATTATATATATAGTATNTAATATATATAATATAATAATATATATATATATATATATATATATATACATACATAAATACATACATATATATATATACATACATACATACATACATATATACATACACAATACATACATACATATATATATATATATCACTCTATGGAGTCTATTTTCAAACAAGCTTATTTGTAATGTTGTTGTCGTCCTGGGTCCTGCAAGACTAGTCAAGAAGACGTCCTGACCATTCTTAGCTGAAGTATGATGGATACTAAGCTACACACTTCTTCGTTCTATATGAGAGATGAACGCTTCCTACTGAGGTTTTAGAAAGTAAACATAATTCCGTATGATTCCGATATTTGTCTACATATATAGCTAAAAAGGATGCAACCATACTCTTGAACGTCTCTTAACCTTGCTATGTACAACATTTTAGGTATCCTTAGGTCTTGTGACCCTACTCCTACAATTTTGGACTGAATTGTCGTGGATTCCCAGAGTTTCCCACAAATCAGCAGCCATCAACCAGCAATCCAGTATCCACCTTCCTGACTAGTGAATCCTGACGCTGAAGACTCAAACAGACAAACACACAAGTAGAAGCGTAAATAAATAACATTCCATCATACTATAAGTTCAAGAGAGGCTTAATATAGTGGCCCGTGAGGCTTGGATTTGATTGGGAGTTTCCCGGCTATAGCTCAAAAGTATTTATAACACATAGCTTTCTGTCTTTGTTTAAAAAAAAAAAAGGGGGTTTTTAGCTTTAGGAAGGCTATGCATCAACACAAGACCCTGGATGATTTTGTCCTCTGGGCCCCTGGGCCTGGGGAGAGAATCCATTTTTCATCCAAATATTTCTCTAGCGAGAGTATTTAGAGTACCATAGTTTCTAAAGGCTCTATTTTTCCTTCTATTTTCAGACGAAGGCTATGTATTTTTATTAAAAAAAAGAATCGTGTCGCTTTGTTGTTCCAACTGTCAACACAATGACAACACAAGAGTGACAAGTGAGTCAGCAACTCCCCAAAGTTTCAAGTTGACCCAACTGTCCCAGCCAGCTCACAGCCCCAGCCGCCAGGGCTCCAGACCCCCAAACTCTAAGTCTCAGCCACTCTCTCTAGCTAGAGTAGAGGGCCCAGGCCCAGGCTCAATAGGACCGTAAGAGTTGAGACTTGAGACTTGAGACTTGGGACTTGAGAGTTGAGTCTTGAGACTCGAGAGTTGAGAGTTGAGCCTTGAGAGTTGAGCCTTGAGAGTTGAGCCTTGAGAAAACAGCAATATGATTATGTACACAGTACAACTGTTAAAATTCTATTTACTAAGCAGATTTGTTCTTACTTTAAAATTCAGTCAATAATATCGCCATAAACTAAACAGCCTACTTTTAATTAATTTAAAATGAGGCATCACAAATTCAGAATACAATTCACATGCAAGGAGCTGCAGAATACATCACATCGCAACGTTCGCTCTGAAGGATTCTAAATATGGAAGTTTTGTGAGCACGGTATGTTTGTTTCTTCATACTTGACCAATCACGCGGGTCAAGGAACCAAGGAAATTATAGCACTGAGCAAGTGTCATGTGTATTTGGCTAAATTGACTTCATACATAGTATACATTTATGTATTCACATTATTACGTACTAAATACAATACATCCACAAAGAGTACGTTGTTAGTAAAACTGTCGGATATATTTTAAATAATAATAAAAAATACGTTGTTAGTACGCATCTTCTAAATAAAAAAAGGCTATGTAGTACGGACATAAACAATTTCAATTTTATCAAAAGACACATCGTGGATGCATCTACTTGAGGCAGCCACACAGTGAACACGGAATACACACAGTGTACACCACATACACGTGCTAGAAAATCGGCTTTGCGAATTTCCGTCGCAGAATAGGAATACTGCTGAATTTTAAAATAACAGGAAACCTGCAGTGCACAATTCTTCAGTGCCAAGCCGACAAGAATACAGTGGAACACATTTGTAACCACGTACGTGCAAGATATCTGTAAGAAAGTATGGTTTCCATGATAAGCAATGCCACCAGAGCAGCGTGCACGATTGCCCTGCTCTGTGTAGCCGTCAAAGCTGCAACTGTGAAACATATACGTGTTCAGCATCGTAGGGACGGATCGTATGATGCTGTGGCTTATAACTATCTGACTCAGCTATCAGATGAGGCAAATGGTGGCCTTGGTTCACGGGTCACGAATACAGAGGATGAGGTTGCGGCAGCTGCATATTTGACTACAACTCTGGACGGACTGGGTTATAATGGTAAGTTGCTATTAAAATTTGAGTGGTGATGCTATTCATTGTCTATCGTGATGTCTGAAAACTCACGCTGTGAAGTACGTGGGTTTTTCGTGGACTGGCGATATGTTAAAAGTATTCGAATCCGAGAGAAATCACTGCATGTTGCACTATAGGGTTTGATAATCACTGTTACCACGCGAACGAGTACCTTTCGATGAATAAGTCTATTTTTTCAGCTTATGAGTGTTTTGACCATCTGTCGCCAGGTTGTTTCAGCTACTGCACCTGTGATTGTAACTGTGCCATTTTTATGAAGGATCTTGTTTCATGCTTTGTTCTCCAATATGATAATCGCTAAAAATGGTATATCAAAGATTTGCCTTAGCCTTGTACGTTAAGATCATATAGATAATCTTGTAAATCGATATGGATTTCAACATGAGTGTTCCAAAGAAAACTTCGTTGGAAGTACATGAGTAGAACTAAATTGCAATTTAAAATTAATAGCTCATATGGTAAAGTCCACCCGAAGTGCGCGCTAATAACAGTTGTAAAGTATATCTAACACAAATTGTAAATAACCATCGAAGTCTTCGTGACGGCGACCCAAAGAGCAGTTGTATGAGTGTATCCAATATGCATAAATTTCTGGTCAATATGTCAGCCAGCAGCCGAAGCTAAAAAATGATACAGATGGTGTCTTCTGCTCAAAATTGCCATTGAGACTCTCGAGCATGCGATATGCTACAATAATGAAGTGACTTGCTGATGATTTAGATATGTTGTTCTGCAATATCTGTCGGGTAGTCTAGATATACTGTATTATTAGCGAAAATCATCTAGATACAATAACTGCCTGATGCACAGTCACGTGTCTTGTTCGCTTCCGTCAATTTATATATACTCCGTCACGATAGCATGATATTTTGCTACAGACCAGTCGATCTGCAGATATTATGAAGGTATACTATGCTTACATAATCGACCATCGTATCCAAATATAGTTGATTAGAGTAGGGGTTAGGAATGCGTGCCTGCGTAGGAACACTGCCGCAAATATTCGAATTTTGATCCAGAAATGGAAACTCGCACTTTTACTACATGTAGTTAGAAAGATACATTTCAACTTGTGCATAGTCTTAATTTAATAATCACAGCGCAACAGCCCAAATCTGATCTGTTCCACTGTATCTGTTTCATCGCATACAGTCACTGCGGATGATTTCACGTACAACAAGATCGAAATAATGTCTTCCACAAAATCTCGGGAAGAGCCACCACACACACACAAACTCTTACTCTTCTTCAGTCTTGGCCATACAAGCTAAATTATTATCTGTCTTGCCTCGCTTTGCTTCAGTTATTGCTGTGAACTTTACGTACAACAAGACAACTGACGACGTTACAACCACCATGGCGTCTACCAATCTTATTGTCGACATCTCCGGTGCCAACCCGGAGATAGTCCTCCTTGTTGCACACTACGACACCATTGGAGCGGACAAGGGGTCTGAAGGAGCCACCGACAAGTATGTGGGCATATATGGAAAAGTTTGGTACATGCGCGCATGTCTTGTCTTCTCATCGTCCAATCTTCGGTTTATGCAACTCTCGTCGCCTATCTTCTAGCTCTTGATTAGATTCCGTTTTCTTCTCACCTCTCAGCATTACTATATATCTAACACCTCGTCTGTGCTACTCAGAGATGTTGTTTCACTAGATTCCGCTCCACTGACTGTCCACCCTTCCGTGTTACTGTATTTAGTTTACGCCAAAAAACTTTATCAATCCTACTCAATGCTCTCAGTGCCTACCTAAACCAGTGCTGTTTATTCGAACTTAACATCTTGTATTAGACTTCAAAAACTATAACTCACAACCCCTTATTATATCTATGCCTGTCTACTACTCAGTGGAGCGGGAACCTCGGGGCTGCTGGCCCTAGCACAAGCTCTGACAACGGCCGAGACCATTCCTTACTCCATCCGATTGTTATGGACTGGTGCGGAGGAGAATGGTCTGAACGGCGCGCTAGACTATGTTGCCCAGGGGCTAACTAATGGCGCATTGGACAATGTCAAAGCCGTTATCAATTTCGACACCGTTGGTGAGTTGAGTTACAATAGCTTTTTCCGATTTGCGTGTCAACTTTGGTGTTGAAATTTGGGGTCGGTGCTGTGTACTACGCGTGTCACTATTTTAGATCACCTCTGTAGAATGATTGTGACGGGGAAATCCATTCGAACGGCCTAATTCTGTTTCCGAACTCTTTGGTGAGCATCATCTGCACAACTTGGCTCTGTGCATGATGCGTAAGTACACTGACTGGATACTAATAAGCTCCACAACCCTTTTGCACTTGAAGGCGGAGGCGACTTCCTGTATGTTCACTCGGCACATGAGGACTATTCGGAATACGAGAGCAGATGCAAAAAACTGGGCCTAACCAACGAGACCTACAACTTCGATCCAATCGTTCGCGATCAGTTGCTGCAAGCTTCGGAGAATACGGAAGGTATTGAGCACGTCTTTATCATCCACCCCGACTTCCCAGGTAAGCGATATGTTTTGACTTCTACACCTACGTTCCACTGGTTTATACAACATCTATATTTTGGGTTGCACTTGTCAACTACTAACGAGCTTCCAGTACAGAATGGCTCCCTCATCTATCTACATTTATCTTCAAACAGGCTATCCCACCGGCCAGACTGGTTCGTGGTCAGACCACTCGCCGTTTGCGTGTGCCGGAATTCCCATTGGATATGTTGAGACGACAAACTTCAACATTGACGGACAATCTCACTACGATGGATACTCCCAGACTGTCAACCCAATGATGTGGGACTGTTTCAATGAGACCACTGTGAGTGCGTGCAACCGCACCAGCGAGACCAAGTGGGGCAAGATATGGCACACGGAATTGTATGTGGTGTGTATTTGATCCAGCGGATTTGCGCGGATTTGTATGTATATGAAGTATAGGCACGTGAACACATTTACACGTTAGGGTGACTGACGCTCAAACCAAATATGCGTATTCTTCGATAAATATTTATGTAGGTGTATACATCTGTATCATCGCCCAGTACGCCGATTTACGCCCGTCACCATCACATAATTCTCACTGATATTCATAGTATTCATATATTTTATTTTCTTGCGTAGTGATCGTCTTGATGTCCTCGAAGAGGCCTTCCCGGGCCGTGTACAGGAGCAGTTGGGAGACACTGTTGACTCAGTGTTGACGTTTCTGATAAACGGCACATTCATGGACAGCATTGTGGCGTCGCCATTGAGTGCTACCAATGGTATTGATGGTACTACAGCCGCCACTGAAGGTATAGTTTCTACCCGCATTCTAGACAGTTTTGTTTGCGGGTACATACATTTTTACGTTGGGCCGTGCTTGTCAGAGGGTATATATATATATATATATATATATAACTTCGTGTACCTATTTACCTGTATAGTTTCTATTTATTGATGCAGATATTCATAACAAGTGCCCTCATTGCATATATATATATATATATCTCAGGCTCCTACGATATCGTGGCCTATGCATACCTCACTGCCTTGACTGATGAGGCCAATGAAGGCTTGGGCGCACGCGTAACAAACACGGAGCAGGAGGTAGCCGCTAAGGAATTCCTGACATCCACACTAACTGATCTGGGCTATGAAGGTGTGTGCTTACTGTACGTTCGACAGTATGGAATGTTTACTTTTTGCGAAAAGGGTTTTTGTTGTAATATAGAATCTTCTGGAGTAGGGGAACTTGGTGCGCAGATTTAGCATGCACTTTTGGTTAATTTTGGATTACTCCTGATAGCCTTCAAGGCAGATTTGGTTAGAGCAATACATTTGTCTTGACCGCTTCATTTTTTTGGTGACGGAATTGTATACTTGCACAAGCACTCGGTACATATGTATATCGTTGCATGATTTAGGGCACCGCTGTACGATTATATAAATATATATATAGCATGTCAAGTGTAATGGATGGGATGGGAACCTCTCGGAGAGACCCACCACACACACACTCTTACTCTTCTTCAGTCTTGGCCATACAAGCTAAGTTATTGCCTGTCTTGCCTCGCTTTGCTGCAGTCACTGCTGTGGACTTTACGTACAACAAGACAACTGATGACGTTACAACCACCATGGCGTCTACCAATCTTATTGTTGACATCCCCGGTGCGAACCCGGAGATAGTCCTCCTTGTTGCACACTACGACACCACCGGCGCGGACAAGGGCTCGGAAGGTGCCACGGACAAGTATGTGTGTCGCAGACGATGAGTGACCGTATCTATGTAGCATAACGGAGTGTGTATTTCTGATAGACTCCATGTTTTGGAGAAATTACGGACGTGTCGGGTGTCTTTGCACGTGACGATAAGTACAGGCGTCGACGCACTGTGACGATCATATTACCACTATGTCAAGAATAGGACCGCCCAAGCCATGTAGATCACAACGATGCTCTCTTAGTCAAACTACAAATCAACGTATCAGATATTCAAGACGGGTTCTACCTCACGATTGTGCTCATTCCCGTACTCATACCTCATTCCGCTGTGGTTGATATCTTCAGTGGTGCCGGATCCGCCGGTCTCTTGACCTTAGCCCAGGCTGTGAAGGCCACAGCAAGCATCCCCTACACCATTCGTCTACTATGGACTGGTGCGGAGGAGAATGGCCTCAACGGCGCACTAGACTATGTGGCTTCAGGACTCACCAATGGTGATTTGGACAACGTTAAAGCCGTGATTAACTTCGACACGGTTGGTATGTACGGTGCTTGAAAATTATGAATGAGTGTGTCGCTACCCAACTGAGATTTGAATTGCATGCGTATGCAGAATCGGGCTAGAACTATTGTGAAGACAAGCCAATAGCACGGCAAATACTGTCAGCGGCATACATTATTTCGATGCAATCACTGTACCAGGTATCAATATATAGAGTGTCTGCTGCTTACCGAGTGTGGTGTGTTATCAAAGTGGGCGGTATATCCGGAGTCAAATGTATAGGGCATATTACCTTGAACCATATCCTCGCAGCCAATTTTCTTATCGCTGGCAAATACGACATTTGGATGTAATCGTGTTAATGATCGTGTCTGAACGCATCTCTCACACACTAAGACACATATGTTTGAAAATTTGAAAATCAACTACAGGCGGAGGTGACTTTTTGTATGTGCACTCGGCGCATGAAGACTATTCGGAATACGAGTCCAGATGTGCAAAGCTAGGATTGACCAATGCGACCTATACTTTCGACCCAATCGTTCGCGACCAATTACTTGAAGCTTCCGCAAGTACTGAGAGCGTTGAGCATATATTCATCATCCACCCCGACTTCCCAGGTATGTTTGTTTGGTGCGCTTGTTAGAAGTATATACGTCTTGAACAGAATATCTGACTAGGGATAGTTTTGTGCATAATATACACAAAACACCATACGTGTACGAGTTTTACTTACCGTTCTTTGTTTTCGAATACAAGTCTACAAACCACGACATTCGCACGTATATACACAATTTTTCTACACTTCCATGCCTATGCTATTTAAGACCACACCCACATGAAGAACCTCTACAAGTTATACCAAGCATGCACGCATACTATGCCCAGGAAGAAGTGAGTACTTGCGCGAGAATCAGCAGCCGCATCTTTCGCAATCCACATCTAACCGTTCCTTTGTTGGTTCGAATGAATCACTCTCTAACCCTTTATTGAATTGCAGGCTATCCCATGGGTCAGACTGGTTCGTGGTCAGACCACTCGCCGTTTGCTTGCGCCGGGATTCCCATTGGATATGTTGAGACGACAAACTTCAACATTGACGGACTATCTCACTACGATGGATACTCCCAGACTGTCAACCCAATGATGTGGGACTGTTTCAATGAGACCACTGTCAGTGCGTGCAACCGCACCAGCGAGACCAAGTGGGGCAAGATATGGCACACGGAATTGTATGTACTCTTCCACGTATGCATCTATATATATATATATATATATATGTATGTATGTATGTATGTATATAAATTTATAGATTTGTTTTTAGAAATGTCTGCACAGTTGGCTACTCTTCTGGCTATATTACATGCATGTATGTGTAGGACACAGTGATCGCCTCTGCGTGCTGATGAAACCCTTCAAATTGGCATGTACTCACTTTGGACACAAATCCCCATTCCCGAACTACACAGAGAGCACAATTCTCTCTCGCGTACCATCGGATAAGCACACCACTTCGCAGTATGGACACAAAATCATATCAGACCTCATTGAAATATTTCATCTGGAACACTTACAGTGATCGCCTGGATGTGCTCGAAGAGGCGTTTCCCGGTAGAGTGCAGGAACAGCTTGGGGACACCGTGGACTCGGTTATCACTTTCCTCACTGGCGACTTCATGGACGCAGTTGTAGCTGCGGAGGTATCGAAGAATACTGTGGTAGCGGATACTAGCATGGACACTGCAAGCGAAGCAGAGGTCGATACCGACTTTGCCAGTGCAACTGATATTGACGCTGTCACCGACAATGTGGAGAGCACTGCTGTTGTGGACACTGACGCTGCAGATGACACCGACATGCCGGCCGCTACTGACACTGACGCTGTCACCGACCTTGTGGTCGACACTGACGCTGCAGATGACACTGATCCGGTGATTGATACCATCCCGGTCGCTACTGACACTGAGACTGCCGCTATCCCGGATGTCGAAAGCGAAGAGGATGCCGATACGACTGCGGAAGCCAATACTGGTGAGCCAGGTAAGTCATTGCCCAAAGACTCAGTTGTATTCATGTCTCCATGTTGGTCTAAGATCTGAGTGTAGAGTGTATTAAGGTAATGTGTCTGGGTACTGTTCTCTCGATGGCTTACTACTACACTACTACATGTGATGAAGTCATATTGTATTAGATTGAGCTTGGCTAGTTTGGTGTGATATTTTTGCCACCGTGCTGGAGGAGGCCGACTGATTGTCACTGTAAAATGTATATAGCTGTTGTGGCTGGGACCAAGAAGCTATTTGTTCGTCTCACGGGTCATCCTAAGTCGCACAGGAAATGTACAAAATAGTGCGAAGTGGCGTTGATTCGAGTGTACAGAATGGATACAGATGTGAGGCATAGTGCTATGCGAATGAAAAAGCAGAGCATGTGGGTTGACGATTGACAAATGTCCAGAATCTAGCGTAGTGAATACGTTCATCGACAGCATGTTTATAGGGCGATACTAACAAGTAAATATCTTCTTCCGACATACAGCAGACACCGAAGGTGGAGATAGTGGCGGTCTCAGCACCGGAGGTATTATTGGTATAATAGCTGCGGTGCTCGTTGTAGGAGGCGGAGCTGCTGTCTTCTTTATATACAGGAAGAAGCAGAAGAGATCGTACACCACTGAAAGTACTACTAATCTTTAAAAGCATATTCAGTACTTAGCAATGGAAATGCCCGAGGAATCGAAAGTTAGATGAGAAACGGAGCACGGACAAGAGACTGCTAACAAGGCAGATAATATAGCGGACCGTCGGGAGGGATACATAAGTACTTCTCAATGGGGTTTCTCGATGATTTTATAATTTGGATGGATTATTAAACACTGCGAACGAGGCAGACAATGTAGTAGACTACCGGAAGGGCCACATAGGTACTTTGTCAATTGGGGATACTCGATGATTATAAAAATTAAATGAATCATAAACCACTGATGCAGATAATGTAGCAATCTATCGGAAGGGACACAGCGGTACTTTGTCAATGGGACATACTCGATGATTATTTAAATTAAATGAATCATAAACCACCGAGGCAGATAACGTAGCAATTTATCGGAAGGGACATAGCGGTATCTTGTCAATGGGGCATACTCGATGATTATATGAATTAAATGAATCATAAACCACCGAGGGAGATAATGTAGTAATCTATCGGAAGGGACACAGAGGTGCTTGTCAATGAGGGGAGTTAGATGGATTGTAAACTATAAAACACAGTGAATAAACTGCGAACGAGGCAGGCAATCTAGCGGTCTAGGATTCTAGGGTTTTAGAACCCTTTGAATACCGGACTAAATATGCAATTATACTGACAAGCGCTCATCAAGTGGAGACAATTTATCACAGTGGCAATAAATAGAAATTGAAGTCACATGCCGAAGATCAGTCGAGATTTTTGCAGCACACTAACCTCCACCGAGACAAACAAGCTTTATGGTGGTATGCAATGAAATCTAGCGCGCGAGGTCATCTACCTGAATTTATTTTTAGTTCTAAGTGCTTCAAACACATATTGATTCTTCTCTAACCCGCATATGGATGTAATACTACCACTAGTTTCGAAAACACAGGCCAGTCGTATGGGGTGCAGGCGTGCATAATTTGTGACAAAAGTGGGAGAAAACACCTCCAGAAGCACAATGATCGTTACGAAAAGTTGGGACATCTCACAAGGTACAGGCGCATCAGAGTACTTGTCAACGAGGTCAAATAACGATTGCGAATGTTTGCTTAACTAATTTATACGCCATTGAGCTACTCATTGTGATTCGGGTGGCGGCGCAGGGTTGTACGTTTGCGTCCATGTTAGTCTGTCTAGCGGTCGGATGGCACCATACTGTGCGATCAGGCAAAATGATAGAAGCAGATACAATTAGTGTTCTCCGTGTGCATCGTTTTCAATAGAATTATTGAAGAGAGAGGTAGTATACTAAACGTACACTCGTTTCGCCGCACCGATATATAAATCTCAAATGAGATACCATGGGTAGAGACTATTACCATGAGTGGAACATCTAGTTCGCCAAATACAAGATCACCTGAATACCCATGCAGTAATGCTGTATGAGTTTCCGTACAGCCATAATACATATCGGTACCTTGAGAAGAACAAGATGCGCAACATTCAGTGCAAGCTCAAACTCCCCGAGTACACATTCCCAATATATATATATACATATATACATATACATATACATACACACACACACACACACACACACACACACACACACACACAC